TACAGGCGGATACCAGTGATCGGCTGCACCACACAGGCCACCGACCGGCAGCGCCGAAGCAAGTGGGCCTGGCTCACGGCACCCGTGCCGCCGTTAACCGCCAGGAGGACCGCCGAGGTCGGGCCGCCGACCACCAGCGCGAAGCAATCAGCACCGCCACCGGAAATACTGCGACCGATGGGGCCGATGCCACCACCGCCCATCACTGTGGAAGTGCAGCCGGGGAACCTGGTCGAAGTACCGCACTTCGCGGCTCACGTATCCTGGAAATATACGGCGAAATCCGGGAACGACCGCTGGTTGATCCAGTTTAACCACACCGGCACCGTACGATCCGTCCGCAAGAAGCCGACTTAGAGTGCCTCAAATTCAGACACTGCCTGAAAGGGGGGGTGATGTAGCGATGCACCCCCATAAGTGCATCGTTCTCGGCTACAACAACTCGCCGGATGCCGCTACGGTGACCCCCGGTCACCATATGCGATGAGATGCGCTCGACATATTTTAAAGCATAATTACAGGCCGCGAGATTTCGACTGACGAAACCCGAGCGTCGCCAAACGACGCCGAGCGCCGCAGCTCTCGCTCGTATTGTTCCACGCCGAGAATCACCGAATGATCCCGAAACAATACGAGCGGGAGCAACAAACCAGTATAAAATCCCGGCGAACGATTATTTCGGGCTTTTTGCTCCTAGTTCCAGCTCCTAGAAAACCGACCGCTTCCTAGTGATCCGAACTCCTGAGCAGTACTGCGGTGGTGAGGGAATTCTCCGCCACTACCGGCATTTACCGGTCCGATACTGCACTCGACTCCGCTCTTCGGCTCACCGCTCATTGCTCGCTCCTCGAACCGTTTCGCTGCACCGCGGCGGTAGGGCTCGCCCTGCCTCTGTCGGCCGTTCCCGACCAGTTGCAGCGCCCGCTCCGAGAGCCTTGCGACGAGGCGGCCGAGACGAGGGCACCGTTCTTCCGCGCTATACGTGACCGGCTTCGACGAGAACCAGGGGGTTGGCTTTTGCCCACCTCCGTCGGACGCTCCCGACAGTCGAAGTCGTGCCGTATAGCAAAGACAAGCAGAAAGCGCCTTCAGCGGGGTGACAAAGCAAACTTGGGGAGAATGGGAACAAACATTCATAGACTATCTGTAGCATTTTATGAATTTCTAGCACATTCTTCCCAAGTTTCATAAATTTTATTTTTAAAACACCTATTATAAAAGTTGCAATGGATTCCGATCGAAATTATTCTATTCTCCCTAGAAAACGCAATAGAAATCTAAGGAATAATTGAATAATTTCGATTGGAATCCATTCCGACAAATTTCGTTATACATACTGTGCAAAAAGATATTCTTATAATTATTGATACGAAAAACTGCATGTGTTATCGTTAATGATCAAAATTATACTGAATGTGTTTATTAGACATTTTATTACCCGTAATACCATCACAGAACCTATAGTGTTGTTACATCATCAGAAAAAAATATCCGAATTTTTTATCCACATCACGTATGTAAAGCAATATTTTTACAAATGTTTCATGATTATACTTTGTGTTTTTCTGAAATAAAGACTTTTGTTAAAGATATTTGGCCACTGGAGATCAAATACTATCCATTGCACTAGCTTATAGATGTGGAGAATCAACTGTCCGGAAAATAATACACGAAACTTGTTCTATTATAGTAAATGTATTACAACCGATTTATCTTCGTTTACCAACAACAGAAGAATGGACAAATGTTTGTATTGGATTTTGGGAAAACTGGAATTTTCCTAATTGTGTCGGGGCATTTGATGGCAAACATGTTGAAATACAAGCTCCGTCAAATTCTGGGAGCTTATTTTTCAACTATAAGAAAACTTTTAGCATTGTGTTAATGGCAGCATGTGATTACAAATATGTTTACACTGGTCGACATAGGCTCTTATGGCGGTAACAGTGATGGTGGTATTTTTACCTCTTCTGATATTTATTCAACATTAGAAGAAGGAACATTAAATCTTCCCGAAGGCATTGCTAATCTTCCTGAAAGCGATATTCAGTTACCATACTTTTTTATTGGAGATAGTGGTTTTCCAATCAGTTGTTTTATGGTGCGACCTTATTCTGGAAGATTACTCGATGAAAGAAAGAAAATATTTAATTACAGGTAAGTAGTTAAGTATTTATTATTATTATTAGCAGAGAGTTGAGTAGTATTAGTAGTATTAGCAAAGGTGGCGATATAATTTATAATACAGTAATAGTAAGGCTTATCTCTCGCGATGATAGGAGGGGGAAATAATATACGAGATTGATTATTTCAAACATTATTTTACACTTTTACGTAATGTATCGGACAAATATCTCAGGTTGCCGTCATATTTTAAAGGTTCCAAGATTAAGAAATTATTTTTTTTAAAGGAAAACTAAAAATAAAACTTTACATAGCAAGTAATTCATTGCTCGTTTCTGGCGTCATGAAAGAGCCAAGCCGTAATAATAGAAGTAGCGGTAGTAGTTGCTATTATAAAATCATATTTGATCACGACAAATTATTTTAATCTTGTGCATTTTATTGATTTTCAGATTGTCCAGAGCAAGACGTATAATAGAAAATACTTTTGGTATTTTATCTAGTCGATGGAGGATCTATAGGAAACCTATTCATATGCATCCTAAATATGTAGACACGACAGTTATGGCAACTATTTGTCTGCACAATTTTATTAAGTCTGAAGAGAATTTCATACAACCGGAGTCTAGAATATATTGTTCTCCTAATTTCATAGACTCTGAAGATGAGGATGGTAATATAATTCCTGGTCAGTGGCGGCGAGAAAATGTCCTCAGAAATATACCTCCCTCATCAATGCAACTTCAATTGCATATAAGCAACGCGACAAGCTAGCTGATTATTTCATTTCACGACCTGGGGAAGTTTTTTGGCAATATGAGTATGTTAGAAGAGGACAGCATTGTGATGATCCCCAATAATAACATATTTTGAATGTAATATAATTATACGAACGTGTTGTTCAATTATATTTTCAACATTTTTTCTTTCTTATCTCATCAATAATCTACTCTAGAATTTTGCGTTAAATTTGGTATTTCATTATATTAAAAAATTAGACGTTTTTATGCTAACTTGATTTACTGTAAAACCACCTTAAGAAATAAAATTGTATGAATGTGTGTATATTAATTGTATTGTAAATCGTGCTTAATTTTCTGATGGGTAACTTTGAAATAAAATTCAACAATTTAGAGAAACAGCCATTTATTTATCATTATCCCTGTCGCTCTCTTCTGTATATTATTAATACATGTAATATTAGTCTTTTAGATCATGTGTCATATCATGTAAAGTATATATACATATATATAGTCATTTTACTGTAACAGATTAACTTAAAAGATTAAAAGTTATATCAAATATATCAAATCATTTTACTATAACATTAACTTAAACGATTCATTTTTCAAAAAAACACTTTGTTTCTTATCAACATTGTTGAATGTTAAAAATAAAATCACAGACAGAAAAATGCACAAAACTTTGAATTAGATTCAATAATTACACTGTATCCTTCATTCCTAAAAAAAACAAAAAATCTGCAAAATGGAGAATCCAAAAAAAAATGAACCTGAATCTGACAGAAGGATCACCAGCTGATTGATACTTTCAAAAATATCAACTGTTGAACAGTAGGAGGTTGATCATACTTTTATATATCTTATATAATCCGCAATATTTGCTTCTTTTTTTCTGTTTTTTCAGATTGGGGTAAATTTTTAAATAAAGATAGTACAAGCTGACAAAAAACCAAATCTTCTTGTACTTCCGAGTTAATAGATAGCGTCGATGAAGTTGTAGAGTATTTGTTCTCGAGTAAAGAGGTAACTTTACAAATTGTATTCTATAGAAGATCCTGTTGAGACTTTCCTTTTGGTTTTATCCGCAATGTACTCAAATTTTTTTTTTCAAAATCGGAGGTGTTTAATGCAGATGAACGGATGTTAGATGAACTACAATGAAATAAATGAATTTTTAAGAAAATATGAATACTTTACGAATATTTGTTTATACATATGTATATATGCAAATATTCATAAAATCACATTTTTAAAGAAATATTTACATACATATACAGGGAACCCATTTTTATCTAAACTGGCAAATATTTCGAAAATATGGAATTTTACTAAAAAAAACATTCCAAATAAAAGTTGTATGGTATAGAGAAGGGCGTCACTATTTTATATCCCCTTCTGTACCTCACTACTATAATTTGGAATTTTTTTTAGTAAATTGCACATTTCTTAAGATTTTATTGTTAAGATTAAAATGAATCACCTTATATGTATGTATATATGAATATTAAACAAAAAAATTTTTATGCAATTAAGTTTATAAAAAATAAATATTTTATAAATAAAAACTCTTTCGGAGATACTGACTCTGTTTGTTTGTCAATATATGCTACAGGAGATGGAGACGGTGTTTTAGAGAGTGATGATGATAGCGAAGGCGAAAAAGTTCGTGGAACTACTTCATTACTGTCTGGATCGAATCTAGCCTCTTGAAATATATTTTACTGTGAATTTTGACTGCAATCTATTAAAATCTGTCTAATTGAGGTAGTCACGTTCGCAGGAGACAGGTTTTCCTTTTCATCTCTTGCGCCAAAGCTTTTAAAAAAAGAATTTTATTATTGATTTGCAAACACATGTGCATTTTATATTAAGGCTACATTTCAAAATGTCCTGTCCAAGAAAAATTTTACTTGATATATTATAATGAACGTTACACTATATATTTCGAGTTAAATTTTCCTCGAAGAGGACGTTTTGGAATGCAAACCTAGATTGTAAATGTTACAAACTGTTCAAGACTGTATCCTGTTGACAGAGGCGTACTTATTTGCACATTTGAGGAATTCTGCAATAAGTTCTTTTTTTCATCTCTTGCGCCAAAGCTTCTAAAAAAAGAATTTTATTATTGATTTGCAAATACATATGCATTTTATATTAAGGCTACATTTCAAAATGTCCTATCCAAGGAAAATTTTATTTGATATATTATAGTGAACGTTACACGTACTATATATTTCGAGTTAAATTTTCCTCGAAGAGGACGTTTTGAAATGCAGACCTAGATTGTAAATGTTACAAATTGTTCAAGACTGTATCCTGTTGACGGAGGCGTACTTATTTGCACGTTTGAGGAATTCTGCAATAAATTCTTTTTTTCATCTTTTGCGCCAAAGTTTCTAACAAAAAAGAAAAGAAATTTTATTTTTGATTGCAAACCAATACTTTTAATGTTACATAAAAATTAGTAAATGTTATAAACTTTTTAAGATTGTAGTATCTTGCTGACGGAGACACATTTCTTCTTTGTACGTTTGTCATCGTCCTGAAAGAAAAACAATATGAAGAGATTGCTTAATGATGTGAGAGATTGCTCACATAAAGTTTTCAGAAGAATGATGGTTAAATATACATTTTAGGCGACATCTCATTGATTTATATGTCCTTTAGATGTGTTCTAGAGGAGAGTGTCCTAACTGATTTCCTGCAACAATTAAAATTGTGGGGGGTGACATTGGTTTAGGAGACATAGTAAATTGAAGTTCTATAATATGTAGAAGATAATATTGGTGTAAGGGATATAATGCGAAGTAGTGAAGTTTGTATATACTGCACTAATCTCTTAAAGAATGTAAACAAAAACGCGAAGCAACTTCCATCCCACCTCCTTCCCTGGTTTAGGAAGACACGACTTCCACACAAAACAACTCTCACTTTTCCTCCTCCCTACAAAGGGACGCGCGACTTCCACACAAAGCGACTTTATTATGAAACTTTAATTTATCATATATCCTAAACCAATGCCGTCCCCCACTCAATTTTTGCAGGAAATCACTCAGGACACTCTCCTCTACAACATATCTAAAGAACACTTAAATCGGTAAGGTGTCCCCTAAAAGGCATATTTATCAAAAGAACATATAAAAACATCTACAACTTTTTCCTTCGTTTTTAGCCACTTATAAACAATTTATATAGAAAAAACAATTAATAAAATTAGTTCTTACTTTCAAATGTTAGAGTAATGTAATATATTAATATATATATTTTACAATATTAATTAATTGTTTTTATTTCAATTTTATGTGCTTTTCTTTATCTTAACTGAAAAACACGCTTTATTGATCATCTGTCTTTAATATCTCTATAATTTAATTTTTATTATAATGTAGAATGGAACTATTCTAGCATTTGCAATCTTAATGTAATATGGAAATTTACTTTAGCAAGCAATATCTTTCTCTTTGCATGCTTAAAACTATATTATTCAAGTGCTGCTTCTTAGAAGAACTTGCATGATTTTAAAATATTCAATATATGCTGTTCAGAAACATAAGCATTGCTGCTAAAAACAGATGGAATACCTCCACTCTGTACTATACCTTCTCTTTTTGACAAAAGGATCCAAGAATTGCATGTTATCAAAAAATTCGTAGGTCTTTCGCTTTGAAACTCCACTTCCAGTTGTTGTTTCTTCTTGTTTTTGTTTCTTCTCTCGCGAATAACGCTCCCTTAGCCTTGTCCACCTAGTATGACACTCATCCACTAGCATCGAATATTATTTTCATTAAAAATATTTATTTAAAAAATAAATAAGTAAACTAATAAAATAAATAAGTAAATACAAAGGACCCTACACAAATCTTACAGAAAATAGAATTAAGTCGAATTGGTTGAAATTTTGTAGTCCATGATATTCTCAGGATATTTCAATTAATTGGACTGGAATCCATTTTTCATACGATTTGTGAGAATTTTTTATTTAGTCACGATTTTAAGTAATTTTCAATAAAAAAGTCATTAATTTGAATAAAATTTTACTTATTCAAATTAGTCAAGTTCTCAAGTTAAACTAATATTAATTTATAAATTACGAAAAATTAGAGAGATATACCTTTCATGTTTAAAATCTTGGCTATCTCTGTCCAAGCATTTTCTTTCTTCAGATTATCTTTAAAGTCACTTAATTGCTTGTTATATAAATAGGGATGATTTTGAACTAAGGAGATGAGGATTGCATCTGCATCCACAGAATCTTCATTCATAAAGGTTATACCTTCGTCCACCACATTTCGAGTATCAACTTCGTTATTAAATTCGTTATCATCCTCGTAATGAACCATGTAATAAGCGTTGTGATCCATTTTTCTAAATATTTTAGGTTAGAAGGCCTTATGCAATAGTCTATTCTCCTCGTCAATACATGTACAAACCTCCACAAACTTCTCAACTAGTCTACATAACGCATAAAAATTCATCCTTACGGATTTTTCGACACATATAGGCTGCGGTCCACTTAGTGCTTCAAACGCTACAGAGCATTTGTAGCACTGATATGACTGGTCCATTTGATGCTTCGGAACGCTCCCAGCAACTCTGATTGCGTCATCAATACGTCATCGTTTTTGCTTCCACTTCACTTCAACTGCCTCACCTCGGGAGGTGGGTTGGCTGGAGCGTTCACGTAGCAATTGTAGCATTCGAAATAGTAATGGACCAATCGGAGCGTAGCGTTTGGAGCGTAACGTTCAGAGCATTTGGAAGAAGCAAAGGGACCGCAGCCTTTGCATCATGCTTTACGCACTATGCGATCCTCGCAGAGCGAGTAGTGGGGATAGCAATGAAGGAATCTGATTGGTTCATTTCCTTATGCCTTACGCATTATGCGTTACGGAAAAGCCTGTGCTCCCCGCTGATTTGAGTTGCTCACCGACATTGATATGATCATGTTCATCGAGCGTGGCATACGCGGTGGCCTCAGTCAATGTTCCGGCAGATACGCGCAGGCTAATAACAAGTATATGCGTTCGTACGACTCATCGAAACCGTCGTCGTACTTGATGTACTATGACGTGAATAATTTGTATGGATGGGCGATATGTCAACTATTGCCATACGCCGAATTTCAATGGGACAAAGACGTTGCGAACTTTGACGTGAGCGCGATCGCTCCGGATTCACTCACCGGTTACATTCTCGAGGTTGACTTAGAATATCCGGAGCGTCTGCACGACGAGCACGTTGACCTACCTTTCTGTCCGACGCGCGATAAACCGCCCGGCAAGCGCGAGGATAAACTTTTAGCGACTGTGTATGATAAAAAACGTTACGTTATACATTATCGCAATTTACAGCAATGTACGTACTCGTCATGGTCTTCGCGTAACAAAGATCCATCGGGTGCTACAATTCGCTCAATCTCCATGGCTCCGCGATTATATTGAACTTAATACAAATTTCAGAATTCACGCGAAAAACGATTTCGAAAAAAATTTATACAAATTAATGAACAACGCGGTTTTCGGAAAAACCATGGAGAATGTGCGCAATCACGTCGACGTAAAATTATTAACAAAATGGGACGGACGATACGGCGCGGAGGCAATGATCGCGAAACCGAATTTCCACAGCCGTAGCGTCTTTGCGGAAAATTTAATCGCCGTCGAACTGCGTAAACTCGAGGTGAAGTTCAACAAGCCGATTTACGTGGGTATGTGTATACTCGATATATCGAAAGTCTGCTTGTACGAATTTCACTACGACTACATGTTACCACTGTTTCGCGACAAATGTAAAATTATGTACACCGACACGGACAGTCTTATATACCACGTCGAGTGCAAGGACATTTACGAGACGATGAAACGCGATATCGCTAGATTCGACACGAGCGATTATCCGGCGGACAACGCGTATGGTATGTCTCTCGTGAATAAAAAAGTACCCGGTCTGATGAAGGATGAAAACAACGGTATGATAATGACAGAATTCGTCGGACTCAGAGCGAAGATGTACACGTTGAAGGTGGACGGTAAAAAGGACACAAAAAAGGCGAGAGGCGTAAAGAATAACGTCGTAGCGCGAATGATAACGTTTGATGATTACACCCGATGTTTAAACGATGAAATTGAAATGACTCGTCGTCAGTCGTGTATACGATCAAAATTACACGAGGTATACACGATATCCGAGACGAAAATCGCTCTGAGTCCATACGACGACAAACGATACATCGTACCGAACACGACGGAGACGTTACCATGGGGACATTGGCGGATACCCTTGTAATATAT